AACACGAAAAAATGACATTATTCTTTTTCCAGCTCTTGAATACAACTGTTGTTGATGATATGAACATTTCAACCAATCTCAACATATCACAAATAATGAAAAAACTCTAGCTCAATTCCTTGGTTGACATCACTTCATTAGCATTTTCCATTTTCAAATGCCTTTAATTCAGAAAGAAAAATTCAAACAACTTTTTTTTGTCTTCAAAAATGTTGTTAAAATGATTCTCTAAAAGGGTTTATGTACACGTTTTAAAAAACACTGATTACTAGGACTTTTGAGAAAATTGGTCATTAAAAGATTTCAAATGTCCTGTCGACATTATTAATGAATATTATTATTATTATTATTATTATTATTATTATTATTATCATTATTATTATTATCAACATTGTTATTATTATTCTTGTTTGATTCAGAACTGAAGAGAATCCTTCTCTCGCAGCAATGCATTTTAAAGTAGGCAAGGTCAGCRATGATGCCATCAAATCTTTGCGTGACGTAATTGCATTTTGTATTATGCCTCCAAAGAGAAATGCAGGTAACTTCTCAAGCTCTTGGCTGACACCTCTCAATGAATTCCGAGGGTCTTGAMTTGTATTCTTTAAGGTTACTCCCAACTAACGGCTGGTGGAGTTTGTCTCTCTCTCGCTCTCCGCATCAAAAATGTCCGCATAGGTCTGATTTTCACATATGTAATAGTTGAATCCACCTCGTCCCCAGGGCCATCTCGGCCGACTCCTTTTCAAAATGGCGGTCGTYGGGGAGATGACCCTGGCGTTGGCTGGAAATCACGTGATCAAAACCTCCAAGATTTTTGGAGGTTTTGATCACGTGCCCTATCTATTCAAAATGGCGCTCGGAACGTAAACTCAACGGTTTCACAAATTGGGATATCTGTGGTGGGTCGGTATTTGTATTGTATTGCAGGCGCTCAGTAGTATACAAAATAGCGGTTCAACGCCAGGCGGATCATGGCGGATTGCGGATCGGACAAGTTGACCTAATTAGATGCGACAAAACAATGGGACAAGGTGAACGGCGGATCAAGATCTGCCGTAGAGTGACGATGTATGCTGCTAGGGTGACTTTAGACAAGCTTAGAGACTAGGGTATTTAATCAATTCATTACAACTGTGACTATTAAACGGCGGATCGTGATCTGCCGTAGAGTGGAATTATGTTTGTATAGCTATAGTTACATCTATAAGAATGACAAAATGAGCTTTTAATTGCTTTTATTATTTCNTTTTGTCATTCTTATAGATGTAACTATAGCTATACAAACATAATTCCACTCTACGGCAGATCACGATCCGCCGTTTAATAGTCACAGTTGTAATGAATTGATTAAATACCCTAGTCTCTAAGCTTGTCTAAAGTCACCCTAGCAGCATACATCGTCACTCTACGGCAGATCTTGATCCGCCGTTCACCTTGTCCCATTGTTTTGTCGCATCTAATTAGGTCAACTTGTCCGATCCGCAATCCGCCATGATCCGCCTGGCGTTGAACCGCTATTTTGTATACTACTCGCTCTGTTTACAGATTTCAAGACGCGAGCGCCCACTGGCGGGAAAGCTGTGGGCATGCCCAGTTTTTCACTAGTGTCCCTAACGGTTATCCGGATCTACCGACACTGTCGAACACATCCCGACATATAGACGAACATAAACAGCCAATAATGAATGATATAAGAAAAGGCATTTTGAATAGCCAATCAGAAAGCAGCTTAGTTCAGCGAACGCCAGGGTCATCTCCCCGACGACCGCCATTTTGAAAAGGAGTCGGCCGAGATGGCCCTGGGGACGAGGTTGTAGTTGAATCTTTAACCCTTCTTAATCTGACGTCGTGATGTCCAACACCATCCGATATTCAAACAGTGGTCTTAAAATAGTTTGCATTTCCGTGCGTGCAAAAATGTTTCTCAAATTTACAGTCAAAAGACATGAAGCTCGCCCCTTCTAAACGCCATTATTCAATTCATTATTCGATTCTTGGTCGATTCAACATTACATTATTGAAATCAAATTTGAATTCAAACTTCGAAATTTGATTGGATTATTGATCAAATTTTCATAAAGCCTTCTTCGTATTTCGCTTGTAAACATGCTGTTCTTTTATAATTTCCACAAGTCGATGCATTGCAATATGCTGTCTCAGTGTTTGATTTGGTTGGATCTGTTCCTTCTCGTGAGAAAGGAATGACGGTCTCAAAAAGCTGGAAATGCTGTGTTGTTTTCTGTCATTATCAGAGTTCTAGATTTTAATTTAATTTTACATTAATCAACTGAAGTTTGAAAACGAAAAATAAATAGAGGATATTACATGGGCGCGCGGAGATACGGATTTTGTCTTCGAGTGTTGAAATCTCTCACGAGTAAGCGTAGCGAAAATTCGTATCTCCAAGCGACCATGTAATATTCTGTTTATCATGCAATTAAAAATATGAAAGCAAATTATGTTAAAATACCTATTTTCTTTCTTCCACTATATAGAGAAACCTCGAATGTGTTATTTTCACTAGTGAAAATAACATGTTATTTTCACTAGTGAAAATATCAATTTTACGTAATGGAGAAATATAGGTATTTCATAGATAATCATATGATAAAATGAAAAATCCAATAATGCATTGAATAACGAACTATTCAGGGGGCGCGCTTTATGTCTTTTGACTTATATAATATGCAGACTGTCAGCATTCTATGTTTGAAAAATTACACAAATCCGTCGACTGAGACCGTCGCTRCAAAGCCGATTCGAAAACGCACTTTAAAAACARTGTAAATAAAACATTCGAAAACAAAAATTTTCAAAACGACAGCTATTACATCGGATTACTTTCATATTCACAGGAATTCTGTTTCAATCCATACTTGATTTTCTGCATAAATTTCAAATTYCGTTTTTGCCAAATATCTCAAAAAATTGATGAGATCCAGAAAAGCGGTACACATCATCATTAMTTCATACTATTGCACAACGTTTTGGAATAGTTGAAAACAAATTCATCTGTTTGATTTCGAGTAATATGCAAAAATCACATCCATAAAATATTTGGCAAAATTKATATTTGGCAAAAACGAATTTCGACAAAATGCGATTTCCGTTGCCTAGGTAACGTTRATAAAGGTAAATATTATGCGAAACCAAASTTTGCTTTATCAATGCTTTATTACTGGTCCAAACACTAATTACAGCGGTGCATRGYAAGATTTTCAAAAAGCGAAATTAAAAGGAGAGGTATGATCAAAAAAACTATAGACTATTGCAAGGCATCAATAATTCTACTCACAGAAAACAGTTCCAGTAATTAATCGTTTGTAAACTTGTTTTTGAGTAACTTTTATTGGTATAACTGAAGGAATAACTGAGTAATAAGTAACGAGTTTCGAGAGTAATCGAAAGCGGATTAATGGGCAAATTTCGTTATATAAATTTGWAAAAGCGACCAATTCCAAATAAAGAACTGAAATTTTACTCGTTACTACTCCTGCTTCTTTGGGACACGGAACAATACTTAAAATATCAGCCCTTATTTTTTCAATACAGTATCTTAGAAATTGCGCTCTGGCTATCGCGCGGTCCAGTTTTTCTCCTATATTTTTTAAAAGTTCTCCCCCTTAGTCCCCATTTATCAATATTGGGTCTTGTATTGGATGGTTGTGTATTATGGTCTATTATGGTAACAAATGGTTACTATGGTAACATGCTCAATGACAACATTGCATTTAGGGGGGTTATGGGGAATTGTCTGCGGATGTTGCTTAAAATAAGAAAATTCGCTGGAATGATCCAAGGATTTTGTCAACGACGGTAGATAGAAAAATCTAGAACGCGGTCGGGATATACAGACAGAGCACACTGTCAGGGATGATCTAGTCTCCTTCGCAGTCTCTCCTTTTGTCAGATCGGTCTTAAATTTAGGGAAGCTAGCAAGTTTTAGGGGAGGGTCACATCTTCGCTCTAAAGTTTATCTAGGGGAGGGTCATCCTAGTTTTTAGGTTTTAGCTAAGAAAAAATGTTATACCATCGAGTCGATTTTTCATGGACCGACATACTGTATAGGGTTCCAGTGAGTACGCACGTTCCCTTCTCAGTGTGTACTTCCTTACTTCTTGCGTCCAGTGTACCAGCAAAGGAAACCAATACTCTGAGTAAAAATAAACTAGCAAAATATTTGTTGAAACGTCGAGGGGTCATCAGTATTTTGGGAACTTTTGAGGGGAGGGTCAAAAGTTTAGTTTTAGAATCACTTGGGAATATAAATATAAATATACAGTCTTTTATTTTGAGAGGGTAGCACGTAATAGTCTCTAGACTAATAAACTTGTGGCCCTCTATATATTCACTCACACTCACTACCTCAACATTCATTATTTTACTACACAACACTCCTCACAGCTAGTTTTTGACTGAGGGAGGAAAACCAGCGGACCTGGAGAAAAACCCTCGGAGCAAGGAAGAGAACCAGCCTACAAACTCAAATCACATATTATAGTCCCAGACCGGGAATCGAACAAGGACCACAGCGGTGATAGACCGGCGTTTTAACCGGCCATCCTTGCTCCCCACAGGGAGGGTCACTCATTCTTATGAAAAAATTACTCTGAAAACTCCAGCCCCCCCCGGATTAAACGTACCTTCCCTTAAGGAAACGGGCACTTCTGTGCTAGCTACCCACCTTGCCTTCGGCGACGTTCTTGCTGCATCTAGCGCGACCTTCATTTCACGCCCCACACTATAGCCGAGTAGGGGGGAGAGAGGCCCACACCAAGGAGGATGTAGAACTAGACCGTCATCTTATTTTTTGACACTGTTGAAGCCGTACGTAAGAACGCTCCTGTTAGCGTACAGTTCTTGTTTGTCTGTGTTTACTCTCTCATTAAGCGGACATTCTCGTAATCGGACGCAGACACCTCATTATAAGCGGACAACCTATATTTATGCTATTTGTTCTTGTTTACATCATCAACTTCTACATCCTTTGTCTTCAATACTAGAAAGTTCGAATTAACGGGTTTATCGGCGTGACACTCCTGCTCTTCCTCAGTCTTCTTTGTTGTACCACAATAACTACTGAGTGCTTGTTTTTTTTAGAATACCTCCTTAACTTTAAAACGAGACTATTTTACGTTATTTACCAGCCTTTGAGAACCACTTCTATCAAGTTTATTTACAATTTGCAAATATTCAAAAAATTGCGAGTCAAGCAGCGTACGCAGTCTATCCAAGATCTAGACCTGAGAAAAATGCTTGGAATGCTTCAAGGCGAAGAAAACAATTTCGATCATTATCAAAAATATAAGAAGAGCACAAAGTTGCAAACAAGAATAAATATCCTCTGCGTTTACTTAATATTTAAATACCGAGCTTTCGGCCTAAGCGGCCATTATCAATAAGGGTACACGTAGGAAAACGCAAAAACGTTGTTAAGTAAACGCAGAGGATTCTTTCATTTTAGTACTTATGCCTGCGTACAAAGAAATCTTAAAGAATAAATATACCCTCTTTCTTCCCCCATTGGCTACAAGTTGTTGTCAACTCGATTGTGAACTGGAAGTATTATCTATCTGAAACTCGCTCGATATGTCGAAGAGAGAGAACGAATAGGTCGGTTATCGCTTGATTGAATTTTCTATCTTTCGAAATATTTTTAAATATTTTGCTAAATACCTCCGATAGGTAACATTAGTTGACCATTTCATTTCAGAAGAGTATTGTGCTGAAGAAGAACTTGCTAGTCTTGTGAATACAGCACTAGAGTATAATCAGTTATTAGATGAATTAAAAGAAGCCTTGGTTCAGGAATCATGGGAAGGTATGCAATCAAAAATTCGAAATTTTTCTTTGTTTTCTTCATTGTACAAATCAATTCATATTTCTATC